GTCTCAGAATCCCACAGGGGCAGTTCTGCTCTGTCCTATAGAGTTGCTATGCATCAGAATTGACTCATGGCAGCGGGTCTGTTTTTATGGTTTATATCTGCAGTAATCCACTTTCCAATACACTCTGTCTGAGGGCAGGACTATTCACGTCCCAAGGCAATGGTCTGAGGGAGTTCAGTGGAGGCTTAATCCACATGGGAACTCTGCAAATGAGCTTGGAACATTCACTGTCACCCATAGCCTTCCGTAAACCAAGTGTTCAGAATTTAAGCTCTAATACAATTCCCTTCTCCGATCTTAGCTTTTATTATTTATAATCCTTGGATCACGTGGGCTGGTGTGCTTCTTTTGTGTGGACTTGGCTGACACCTCACTTAGATGGCTACTTGATTTAACATAAGCTTTTAAGACCCCACATGGTATTCTTTTACCATCTGATTGATTCACCATACTTTGCTATTGTACCCATATCTTCAGTGATCACTTCATGAGGGCAAGTATTGAGCCAGGTCACAGAGATGTTTCTTTAATCACATTGGAATGCCAAAGAAATCAAGGTTTATTCATTTTGATAGAATTATACCATATATTTTCCCTAAAATATTTTTGCATGGAAAACTATTAAAATACAGTAAATTGTTGTCTATCTTGATGACTGCTTAACTGTAATGATCAGTAAATTTTATTCACTTTCAAAAGTTGAGTGTTTGCCCACCATTTATCAGCACTCTTCATGATACTACTAGGTCAGCGGTTCTCAACCTGGGGGTCGCGATCTCTTTGGCGGGTCGAACGACCCTTTCACAGGGGTCACCTAAGACCATATTTCAGATGGTCTTAGGAACCCAGACACCGCTCCTCTATCCGTCTCCAGGTGGGTCCACCCACATGCAGATACACCCACATGCCGGGGTCGCCACAACATGAGGAACTGTATTAGATGGTCGCGGCTTTAGGAAGGTTGAGAACCACTGCTCTCGGCTCTTCTTTGATCTTATCATAAGTCGATCCTTCACATCTGGACCTTGTTTCTTCCAAGATGTTTATAAAGTAGGCAGCAGAGTGCTTCTGACATCCAGTCAATGTATAATTGAACAATGCGCATTAGAGATGCTTTATATCAACCACTATTCTGACCTTTTACTTTTCATTTTCTACAGCCATCTCGTGGTGTCTTTGAAGAAATGAAATACCTAGAACTTATGATTGTTAATGATCACAAAACGGTAAGAGTAAAGTGATGTTTAGATACAATAGTTTACTTGAGTCAATTCCCTTTTGTATTTAATAATTACTTGCTATGTATTAAAGCCTTGATATATAGGTTCTTCTTTTTCCCTTGGTGATATATTAAATGTCAGGGTGCTTGGAAGCACCAGGTGCTGTATGGAATTTCCACATGTTGAAGCTTTCCCTCTGTTTACTAATTAAAGAATTAATGGGTTTGACTTTGGGGGTCCTTTGTTTTCATTTTAAAATCGTACTTTTTGCTTTTCTTCATTTATTTATTTGATCATTGCTTTCTAATTTTATCCCACTTCTTTGTTCAGCCAATGTGTTGTATTTTTCTTGCTAATTATTCGAATTTGGATGGATATAATTACAAGTCAGAAGCACATATGATAAAGTTATACCCCACGAGACAACTTCACACCAGCAATCTGTCTTCTTTAAGTGTTAGAGAGATGAGTTGCCTACATTCCATGTATCAAAATACAGTGTGACTGAATGTACCATTTCAGTCACACTCAGAAGACAGACGGAAAATAATTCTTATCCTTAATTAGAAATTCTCTGAAACATATGGCGCTGAACTATTTTTCTTACTGTCTTGGCTGAAGTCCAAAATGTGCTGAAAGGTCTTGATCAGTAGGCTGTTCCTAGTATGTCCAATATTAGTAAGTTGGTAAATATTTAGTATTCATTGTGATTTTTTTTAATTGGCTGATTTTCAGAAGTATACTGCCAGGGTTTTCTTCATTGCTTGTCTTAGTCTGGAAGCTCTGCTTAAGCCTGCTCCACATTACAGCAACACCTGGCTGCCACACTCAGAGGGAGGGAGTCACATTGGCTGGGCAGTGAACCCAGGTCTCTTGCTTGGAAGATGAAAATCCAACCGTAGAGCCACCCCTGTACTGAATTTACAATTATGCAATTAAAACAAAGAGCTGTTCTTATCAAAACTAAGGGACATTTAGGGAAATAGACTTTATAAAGAGGATTTATTTTTTTTCTTAATGCCAAAGCATCAGTGAGAAGCTTGTAAGAGATGGGACCCACCATTTAGATCGCTTTGCACATGTGTGTCAGTCTGGGTGGACTAGAGAAACCAATTCATAGAGACTCATATGTGTATAAGAGAGAGTTTTATATAAAGGATAATTGTACATTAAGAAAGCATCCCAACCCAGTCCATTCCAAGCCCATAAGTCTGATATTAGCCCATATGTCCGATACCAATCTATAAAGTCCTCTTCAGACTCAAGAATTACATGCAATGACACTGAATGCAGGACGATCATAGGCCAGTGGGTAGAAAGTGTTTGGATCCAGTGGGGTTGTAAGCATCTCAGCGCTGGCAGGGGTCTCTAGGTGGCTTCTCCGGCTCCAGAGATCTGGTTGCACCAGGGTAGGTCCATGTGGCTTCTCCAGCTCAGGGCACTAGTGTAGTTCCATGTGTCTTGTCAGCTGCAATGTCTCCCATGGAGTGAGCAGAGAGATAGATGTGTCTCCTACCTCCAAGGAGTAAATACCAGATTTCCCAGAATTCTCAGGAGAAGGCCTTGGCCACAGAGGCCTCATTGGCTATGACCCAATTGAAAGGCTAGACTCCACCCCTTCACTCTTACTCCTCTGAAGTCCCAAATTGACACCAGATTATGTAACTACCACAATATGTACTTGAGTTTCTCCACTTAGAGTAAACCCAAAATAAGATTCGTAGATCCTTTTTTAAAGTTGTGTTTTAGACAAGAGTGACAATGTGAAGTTTTAGTCAACAGATTAAAGAGAAGGCCTCAGAAAAGGGCCTCAACTTGTACATAACAAAAGGGGGGTGTGATTTAATGGATATCTACTTTTTTTTCTCTATCTCTGTTTAGCAATATTTTTTAATTAATGGTCAAGTACCAATTAAATCATGCACAATATAAAATTATTGAACAGAATAACTACTGTATGTGTAGATGTGTTTTCTGACTGTAGGACCTGTCAGCATACTGTTTGAGATACATGAATATTAAGACGGAGAACTGATCAGCACTATGGATCATTTGGATGAAGTATTCCTTAGTGGGCAGAAAACTAAAGGCGTAGAGAGCCATTTATGGAACCCTGGGGGCAGTTTTCTTCTGAATTATTTGTGCTCATTGGACAGTGAGGTTTTTTCCCCAGCCACATTTCAGTCGTTCACATTATGATGTGTTGTCAAATTATCACTTTACAGCATAAGCTTTCCTAATATTCAAATACTTTTAAATAGTGGAAATAACCAGAAATGCACAGCTGTGTCTGCTTACAAGGTGCACTGGCATAAGACAAGCAATAGACTCAGTAGATTCGGTTGTCAAACACATGCCTTACATTTCCACGTCTTTTGTCCTCTGTGCTGTATTAGGCAGATAACAGAAAGCTATGAAGCAGAGAACAAGTCTCACTTACTGTACCAGACACAAACCTTGGTACTTTTAAAAACGCCAGACTCTGAATTTATCTTTCAATCCTTTTAGAGGGTGAACATTTTCATTTCATGAATAAAAAGACAGTATTCCTGAAATGTTTTCGTATATTAAATTTTTCTATGTCTTATACTGTGATACAGTAACTTGACTCAGTCTATCAAATCTTTTAATGAAAATCTTGATAATTTGTTTTATTACAATCAAAATCAATTGGAACTAAGCATGATATGTTCATCTCTCTTGGAAATCAGGGGGGGGGGAAGAATTGGAGTTTATAATGATAAATTTGGAGGGAACACATGGTAGGAAATGAAAAAGAAAGGCTTTGTTCTTGAATGATAGAAACAGTGATGGTCGAAAGAAATGACCTAAGGGAAGCTCTACCATTTGAAGAAACAGCACCTGAGATCACGGAGCTGAAATTGTATCTCTTGATTTAACACCAGATTCATCCTACTCATCCTGTAATGCAGGTGCCATTTTGTACGTTAAAAAAATATACTTGAGACGTGTTTTGTATTGGGAGAAGATAGCTTTCAAAATTGATTGCTATGAAGAATCATAACATGACATGCCCTTATAGAAGGGTCACAAGGAAGAGATGAGCCTTATAGCACCGATGAAACATACAACTTTCCTCAAGTGCTTTAATGCTTTCTCTCCCCCACTATCATGATCCCAATTCTACTTCACAAATCCGGCTAGACCAGAGCATGTACACAGGTACAGATAAGAGCTGGAAACACAGGGAATTCAGGACAGATAAACCCCTCAGAACCAATGATGAGAGTAGCAATACCAGGAAGGTAAGGGGAAGGTGGGGGGAGAAAGGGGGAACAAATCACAATAATCGACATATAACCCCCTCCCAGGGGGACGGACAACAGAAAAGTGGGTGAAAGGAGGCATCAGTTAGTGTAAGACATGAAAAAATAATAATAATTTATAAATTATCAAGGATTTGTGAGGGAGGGTGGGTGGATGATGGAGGGATGGAGGGGGGAAATGTGTTGCTGATAACAAGAGCTCAAGTAGAAAACATGGATCAGAGTACGGAAATTTACATGTTGAAGGACAAACTGAATTAGCATAATGCACACTTCCGGTTTTTTCACCTGTGGAGGTATTCCACTGATTTCAGAATCCTCAGCCCATTGAAATGGCACTTCTGACCATCCTTTACTGTATGAAACAACATAGTTATTTTGTGCACTGACCCCTTTTGGGTTAAAAGTTAATGTCTATGCTATTTTTTTTTTCCTGAAGAGGAAATTTCTTGATCATTTCTTAAATGTAAATTGTTTTCTGTTTTCATTTATGCAGGAAATAGAAACATTTTACCTGCATTTGCTTGGGTATCTCTTTAAATCAGAATAACCTAACATCAGCTTCCAGGAAAACTGTGAATATCTTTTTGCTAACAAGCGCCACATTGTTATCAGTGAACTTCATTAGAAAATTTTAAAAGCTTCCAGTTTTGTAACAAAGTGGTACCTCAGCACCTGGCTGAACATCATTTCCAAGCCAATTACAGCTCTGGTGAGACTCTGCAAGCATTGCTCTGGGCTGCTTACCCTAAGAAGAAATATTCAAGGTCCTATTGGAATAGAAAATCGGTTGTGATATTTTAAAGTGCATGAAAAGAAATGTTAGGACTACTTTTTGGTGTGTGCTATATTCTTAATTATGGGACAATAAGGGATAATATTTCAAAACAACCTTTTCGTTTTAGATTTCATTTGGTTTTCCTTCTATTTTCGAAAGACTTGTCTTTTGTGCTCATCTAACAGATTAGGATTATAATCAATAAGCTGGTTTGATGGGACCATAGTAAACCACTAAGGAATTGCTAACTGAACATCTTTACCTCCTCTCTCAACTCAGGGTTGGTCCAGCTGCGTGATCTTAACTGATTTGTTCGCTTTGGACTTCAGGTTCCCCTTGATCACATGAAGATGGTAAAATCCACCTCACCAGGTTGTCGTGAAGGCTGAAAATTTGTTGTCAGAAAAAGACCTCTTAGAACTTCTAGGTGTTCAGTGAACCAGAGCTTTAAGGAAGAGCCCTGGTGGTGGAGCAGTTACGCATTGGGCTGCTAACCGCAAGGTCAGCAGTTCGAACCCACCAGTCATTCCATGGGAACATGATGAAGCTCTCTACTCCTGTAAAGAGTTAGCCTTGGAAGCTCACAGAGGCATCTCTGCCCAGCTCTATAGGGTTGCTATGAATCGGCATCAACTTGGCAGTGAGTTTTTGGTTTTGGTTAAGATACTAAATCTGGTGCTTGATAGGCTGTCCCTCGCGTACTTGGTCTGTCAGTAGTAGTGGAAAGAGTTGATCACATCCTCTTTCTTGAGACATTTCCTTCGCCTCTTGGCTTGTAGGATATAACTCTCCCACCGAACCAGCCTTCAGAGGCTTCCTCTAGGATGAACTGGTCTGCCCTGCTCGGCTCAAGGCTCCTTTCTTTCCATCCTGTCTCTTGTAAGTGCCAGGTGGTCACTGTCACTCGTAAGGCTTCAAACTGTCTCATAAACTTTTGTCATAACTCTGAATTCACGACATCCCCCATTATGCCTCTGGCCTTCTGAGTTCCAAACTCAAATATCTAGCTAATTTCCTGCTCTCTCTATGGCAATATCAAATAGACGTCTAAGGCTTAACATTTCTCAAACAGAACTCTTAGCTCTTCAGTTCTGAATCTCTCCACTCCTGGCCTTTTTCATCATTTCAAATGACACCGACATCCTCCTTAGCTGGACAAGTACCAAGCCTAGAAGTCGTTTGTCCCTTTGCTCTTTCTTTACTTTCTACACCCAGTGGATTCGCCCGCCCTAGAAAGCCCTGTCTTCAGAACGTATCTGCTTCTCTCTGCCGTTGCCCAGACTCCATTATCACTATGATTTTTCAGCCAGGACGAAGGCCCACATTTCCCAGCACATCTCCTTATTCTCACTGGTCTCTCATTTCCTCCCCATACAGCCAGAGTGGTCTTTCTGAAACAAAACTCAGAGACTTAGAACTTACAGACGAGAAATAAAGGAAAGATCATTACGTTTTGACTGTCTTGGACAGGCCCTCCTTTTATTCTCTTTCAAATTGCATAATATGCCTGCAATGTACAGTGGTGCTTACCATGATCACTTGTACTATGGTTCGTACAGTCCCAGCGCTAACAAGCATGTGAAAGTTTTCAAACATAAATTGAAGTCTCCCAAATCAGATAAATTCGTGTTCAGAAGCCAAGCAAGGTTCATTTGACTGGGTATGTAACACCACTGCTTTAGAAAAGATAGCAGCTAATATTCTCATTTTCTTTTCTGTACATCATAATGCAAATATGTTTTTGCTGTTAATTTTAAAAGCATCTTCAGATTTCTCAGCTGGTGGAATATTTCTAGGCAATCTAAATTACTGAGCTATAATGCAAATACGTTTTTGCTGTTAATTTTAAAAGCATCTTCAGATTTCTCAGCTGGTGGAATATTTCTAGGCAATCTAAATTGCTGAGCTATGAGCAGCAACTTCGTTATGCTAAGTTTAAAAAATTTGTCAAGATGTGTGACATTCAGATCGATAAAGTGCTGTATGGTTCAATTTACACACATTGAAATTGAGTAGAAACTACAGTTGTGTCACATGATTATATAGTGGTAGCAGTAATGTGAATAATAATAGCTGCGTCATTGAAATTGTTGTGAATTAATGGAAATTACTAGCAGCATTATGCTAACAGTGTATTGCCAATTTATCAAGTATTGTCAGGTGCTCTGTATTCTGAAAAATAGAATGTCAGATGTGAAATCATTAAGACATATATGCTTTGTTTTTAAAAAAAAGCCATAATCACAGGAGTAGTGTAAAGGGTGGGAATGGGTAAAGGAGGAAAAAAAGAGTACCGTGGGTTTCCATGTTTAAGGATTTTTGATCTTCACACAAGATACATGACCTTAACAATTATAACTGAAGGCAGTCTACAAAAGCTTGGAGTGCAAATAGGAATAAGACATTGTGAATATGCCTGAGTGTTTCTCTTTCATCTTAGAGTTTAAAAAATTACAATACAGAGAGGAAGTGGGATCAATGATAGTACGTTGAGGGGATTGCAGTGCATGACTGGAAACAAAATGTGTATCAATTATTGATTGTGAAACGGATGGTCTGCTCTGTAAACTGTCACCTAATTCACAATGAAAAATGAGAAATGAAAATAATAATAACGGTAGCCTCAGCCACCAGTAGAGGGCATAATCCTCCCAAGGTAGACTTAAAAGTTTCCATCGTCTTCTAAAGAGACATTAAACAAAGTGCTGCTTGCTATAGGTACAACCCTCGATGTGTGGTGATATAATTATTCTATTCACTTCTATTTATCTTACTAAAATTCATTTAAAAAATAAGCTATCTGAAAACTTGTTCAGTCCTCTCTGTTCTGATTGATCCAAAGCAAAGGACTTCATTTGCAGCAAGTCGTCCTCCGGGAGAGTAGAAGGGCAGCAGAGACGAGAAAGGCCCTTGACCCACAGATGGATTGACACCGCGGCTGTGACGATGGGCTCAAGCGTAACAATTGTGTGGATGGCGCAGGAGCAGACAGTGTTGTTTCCTGTTGAACATCGATACATTTGCCACGAGTCTGAACCAACTTCATAGCACTAACAACAGAAACACTTCTCTGGGAGAATCCACCAAATAGAGGCATTCTGTACCATGGGCACCGTCTCAAATACTGCCAAAGGATTTTAAAAAAATCTAAGTTTATAATAAAGGTGTCCAGTTGGGACTAGAGTTCTTGACCTTGGGCCTTTGCAAGCTGGGGAAGATTGCTTCAGGGAAGCAAAGGATTGCGTCTGTCGGCTGCACGAAGCACCTACTGTCAGGTGTCAAGCTTCTCACACAGATTCCGATGGGTCCTCTGTGTGACTCCATTTATCGCTGGTAGATCAGACTTTTTTTCTTTTTTAATGAATAGAGAAATGAAATAAGAATACTACCCTTTCCCACCGAAGCAAATTTCAGTATTTTCTCCTTTTGTGATAAGCTTGCAGCTTTCACAGAATAAAGGAATTCCCTATTCAATTATGATTGACAGTGACTCAGCTATCCTTTTCTTTTCTCTACTTCTTCTTTTCCCTTCAGTACAAGAAGTATCGCTCTTCTCATGCCCATACCAACAATTTTGCTAAGTCTGTGGTCAACCTCGTGGATTCTGTAAGTATCCTGGCTTTCACAAACCAGTTTCTGCCCACACGGAATGTTTGGCCGCTTCTATTTTCTGTTTACTTGCTATTTTAGTTACCTTTGAGCAACAGTGAAAAATAGAATCTTTAAGCCCACCAGGCTAGAATTTATAGAGTGGTTTGCTTTATAAAAACATGCACTATACCAGGACCTTGGGGGCAGAGGAGTTACTCTCAGAATTCCAAAAATACATTGGGGTTCCACCTAATAGAGGGTGACTTCCTAGTAACTCAGAACCTAGCAAAGACACACACATCAGAGTAGATTACTCCCTAGACAGTGTACATTACATTTGTGAAATAAGACTCTGTTAATAATAACCGTATATAATCAAGTATAAGCTGACCCGAATATCAGCCGAGGCACCTAATTTTACCACAAACACTGCATAAAAATGTGCTGGAAAAAACCTCAGCTGATACACAAGGATATAAGGTAATAATAACGTAGAAGAAATACTGGGCTTAGAGGAAATGTGTTCAGAGGATGCAGGTAAGATAGGGAAGAACTTTATAGAGAAAAAAAATATTTCCAAATGTTCCTAAGTAGAGCGCTTTGGGTTGTATGTGTAGATGACAGAATGAAGTGCTGTCCCCAAATAAAATTAATTTGAAATAGATTTATCTTTTCACAAAGAGTTCTAAATCTTCAAGTCTGCAATACCAATGTGATGCTCTATTATGTTGTAAATTGCAGAGAATGATGGTTAAGATTGTCCTAGTTTTCAGTAGGAACTCCATAGGTATAATATGTTGTGCATTGCATTTCAATAAATAATTCAAGTTGAATAGTCAGAAATAAAATACAGTGTGCCTATTTTAAAGTGCCATTTTTGTCAACTAAATTATGTTTACATATTTTTATTTTATGCTTCTTCCAAAATGAAAAATACCTCAAAACAGCTCTTAATTATAAATTGCTAATCATCTAAAACATCGGTTCCAAGACTTGTTTCACGTACCACCCCCTTTCAGACACAAAAATAAAATTACTCAGCACTCCTGGACAATGAAACACTTATGTGCGGTAGCCTATAATCCAGGATAAAGTATAGGTATCTGCTTTTGTAGTCCCTCTGGATCATTCCAGAGCCCGTCAGGGTGGGTATCCGCCATTTGGGGAAAGACTGGTCTATGATGCTTATTTCCTCTAAATAGCTGCTTTCTTAACTGCCATCTAAATGGCTCCAATTATATACTCAGGTAATATGTGGTAGGCAGAACAGGGCGAAAGTATAATATAGATGGATGAGCATGTAGTAAATTGTGAAGTTATGGTTGAACATCTGTGTGCCAGTTTAGACTTGGTTTATTTATTTTCTTTTCTGTAAGATATTTTATTATTTTCAACACTTTGTCAGTCTTCTCAAAGGTAAATTTCAAGTGAATATAGAAAAGAGAATATTAGACACATTTTTCCTCTCCAGGAAAAAGCTGTGTACCAGGTAGCTCCTCTGTGGGGTGATCCAGTAGTATTGAATAGCATCTTGTCTTGTGGAGTGTAATTTTTATTTTGGATCACCATATGAGATCCCGAAGCTGACAAACATTAATATTGAAAAGATATCACCTTGAACTTGCTCTTTGTTGTGAAACTGTTTTAGCTTCATACAAATTCAGGAATGGTGATAGCTCCTTCTTCAGTGTTTGAAAAGGTTATTCACTTTCATGAATTAGTTTGGAAATCGAGCAAAATGACAATATTCACTGAAGTTGCTTAGTTGGTTGCATGGCCAAACGTAGAGTAGGAGAGTCGACAGACACCAATTCAGCTGTGTATGTGCTTGATGCCACCCAGTGAGAGGGTCAGACGGGGGTAGAGATCTACTATTCCCTCTGAGCCATAGATCCTTAATTTTCTCCCAGTGGTATTTTATTTTTCCTGGAATTCAGCCTCCATATTGCTCGATGTTTGTCTGAAGAACTAGTGATCCATTCCAATCCTGCAGCGATAGCTCATGGTACTCTACGTATTCAGAATCAATGGATTGGTCCCCACACAGTACCTCCCTTTGAGGTTTGGAAGTGTGGATTTACTACATCTTGTTTTTAGCTTCTGCCCAGACTTTAGAACCAACCCCTTAGGAGGTGCCTGCGTCTGCACTTGCTGAGCTGATCTGGGATGGAAATAACCTTTAGGAGAGTAGGTGACATGAGACCAAGTCCCTTTGATACTTGTTGATGCATGCTCTTGGCAAAGAGAAAGGAAGGTTCTCAGCGATGAGCTAACGACAACCTCATGTTCTCCTCTCACCTCCCTTTCCTGTCCTTCCATTGACTCTGACTCACTTATCGTGCATGTTTGACCCAGTGGCTTCCTCCTGCGCCTGTCCTGTTGTCTGCCCTCAGATTTACAAGGAGCAGCTCAATACCAGGGTTGTCTTGGTGGCCGTGGAGACCTGGACTGAGAAGGATCACATCGACATCACCACCAACCCAGTGCAGATGCTCCACGAGTTCTCCAAGTACCGGCAGCGCATCAAGCAGCACGCAGACGCTGTGCACCTCATCTCGTATGTAGCTGCTTCAGCTTTTATTGTGGCCTTTGGACCGGTGTTCACCTTTATGTCCTTATTCTTTCCGTGAACTGATGTATCAGGAAGCAGTGATTCGAACACAATTGATATTTACTCCTCTCTCTATTATCATGAGAGCAAGCCTTGGAGCTAGGGCATCTGATGTTGGCATGGAGATTTGACACCATAAGCTTTGCCTCTAGGTCTTAGGTTCCTAAATGTAATTGGCCCACTGCCTTCTTTTCACGAAAAAAAAAATTCGCAATCCCCCCCCATGACAATTGAATCTTTTTGACCTGTACCCCTTAACCTAGGATAAAGTGTAGGTATCTGCTTTTGCAACCCCTGAGATCATTGCAGTGCCCCCCAGGGGGCAGTATCGCCCACTTCAGGAAACACTGGTCTATGTCAGCTCATGACTTACCTTGGCTACGGCACTCCAGGCACCAAACACTTCAGTACACACAGCAGGAATGACAGGCAGCAGTGGGAGAAAAGGGCACTCCTTCCGGCTAGGTCAGCTCCCTGACAGCGGCTTTCTGGAAAGCTGTGCAGTAGCAAAGCCATGAACCAGTCGTTGGCTAAACTCAGTCATGGGCCACATGCAACAGCAAGAGAGTCTAGGAAATGTCTTTGTCGGTGGACCAGTGGGGAGGGTCGGGGGAGGAATGAGGTTCTGTCGCTAAGGAAAAGGATACCATGTTTTTCCTCTGACCTAGTAAGCGGTTTCCTTTTCCACACATGGGTCTGCCCTGGAACCAGGCCAACCAGAATCCTCCTGCCTTCCTCTCGACTCCCTTTCGCGTTTCTCAGTCTGAACACGGCCACCACTTGCAATGATCAGCAATATTATTCGTTCCACGGTCTCTGCTAGAAAAGGGCAAGGTCTGGGTTCAGTTTATCTCGGTGTCTGCTCCTGACCTGGTGTGTGGGGATTAGTGAGTGCTCAGTGACTATGTGCTCCCTGTAGTTGCTCAGCCCATATCAATGAGAAGGTATTTGAAATGCAGCTTTCCGCTTTTGAAGGATTGCTTTGGCATGTTTGTTGTGGGAGAGGTGAGGTAGCCACATATTTTGAGAGCGTTTATACCGTGGTTACTGCAATGGCTCCCTGATAGCATTTTCTTTTCCTTTTTTGAGGCGTGTGACCTTCCACTATAAGAGAAGCAGTCTGAGCTACTTTGGAGGTGTCTGTTCTCGCACCCGAGGAGTTGGTGTGAATGAGGTAAGGTTGATTCCGCCTCTTCAGTAGAGCTTTCTCTTTGCATCTGATCTGTTCTCTCCCCTGGTTCCCTGCTCTTCTCCCACTTGCTTACAATGCTACTGATTTTGAGAATCCAACATGTGTGGTTTAGAGCCCCAAGTGGTCTTTGGTGCAGGAGCGAGGTATTATTTAATTTCATTGTGCTAGATTTTCAGCTTTATCAGACAAATGCCACTTATAAATGCCCCAGGGATTTTTGGCCACGAAAGGCAGGGTATTAAGTTTTTTAACACTTATTTTATTGTTTTCTAGTTAGTCTTCTGCCCATGTTAGCTTCTCCTCATTTAATCCAAAGAATCTATGAGTGTATCCAAGTAGTATCTTTCTTTTCTCCCTAGGTAACGTAAAAACAAAACCAAACTTTACCTACCTGTCTGTGAATGGACTGAAACAAATATCCCCTTAATGTCACTGTTCGGGTTTCCTCACCTTCATTTTTATAAAGGCAATTTCTTATCACCCTTGGCAACAGCACCCTAAAAACCAAAGGACGACCTTTAAGCCCTGGTCAGTACCGGGTTACTCCACTAGCCATCACTCCGTGGGGACCGGTTGTGTCCATTGAGTTTATCCTTGGCTTGGTGTGAGCTGAATTGGGGACATCTTTCTGAGACTGTATTTCCCTGTGAAAGCATCAAGTTCAGAGAGACGGGCTTACTGCTTCTTGGGCCCGGTTTCAAGGAAGGAGTGATAAGGAACATCTGTTGTTTTGAGATGCTGTAAGGCTCTACTTAGGGAGCTGAGCTGATATGCGGTACCGATGAAGAAATAATAACTAGCTTTGTGCACTCTCTCAAATGTTTCCCACACACTTCCAACTCTGAAAACCAGTATGGTCTTCCAATGGCAGTGGCACAAGTATTGTCGCAGAGCCTCGCTCAGAACCTGGGAATCCAATGGGAGCCTTCCAGCAGAAAGCCGAGTATGTACATTGACCTTCTTCCTCCCTTTCGTGTGCCATTGTGTCTGTTTAATGCATGCCCAGTCAATACGTAAATGTGTATGATTCCTAAATTATTATAGTTTAAATGTAGTATGTCTCCTTTCTCTAAAAAAAAAAAATATAAGCTTAAAGTACTTGTTAATCTGTTGGGGTTCTAGAATGGTCCCTACCTAAGTCCCCCTAGATAGGAGACATGGCTCATAGCCAACTCCTCAGGGTCTGAGGCAGCTCTCTCACAGACACTGCAGAATACTGCCCTTCCGGGGGCCGAGAACTCCCTGGCCCACCTCTCTTGGTCTGAACCCGTCCAGTATAGATGCACGATCCCACTGAAGCACTGTCTCAATAAGGGTGCTGCTAGATTGGGGACGTGGCTGTGAGCTTTGGCCATATGGAGCTCTCTTCTTCCATCCACCTTAAACTTTACCATCAAGCTCATCAAAAGAAACATAACAAAACATACTAGCAAAGATTTTCCTAAGGGAAGATATGAGGTCTAAGGACAGGCACAAAAGGGAATACAAACAGGGCGGGAGGGATCATGCAGCAGAGAAACGTAGCTAGTGACCGCTGGGTGTCACTCCTTTCAAAACCAGAGGAGAGGCAGATGGGCAGAAACGCCAGCGTTTCCAGCGGGCACAGTGTCTGGGCCCCATGTTGTTACCAGGGACCCATGAAAAATTTTTTCTTTTAAAACCACAGAAAAATTGACTATAACTTTCATCATAGTCATCTTTATACCAATGCAATTATGGAATAGAAGTTTAATGTGTATATTTTTATATGGATATGGAAATGTGACCTCGGATCATGAAAAGCCATCATGCAATTGATCCTATGGAAAGATGAACCCAAGTGTTTCTTAACCTGTTCTCTTATTAGGCATTCTGTAGCAGCCACCCCCCCACTATTCATTTCTAAGGAAAAGAAGAGATGCAGGCAGTATAGGTCTCCCTGCCCACCTCTCCCAACCTCTTCAGCAGAAAAGAGGAACCGACCCTAACGTTCCTACAGTGGATATTTTTGTGACTCAGGAATCACAGTCACTGCCATCGAGTCCATGCTGACTCAGAGTGACCCTGTAAGACAGGGTAGAACTGCCCCTGTGGGTTTTGAGACAGGAATAGAAAGCCTTATCTCTCTCCCAAGAAGTATCTGGTGGTTTTGAACTGTGACCCACTATGGCAACATAATCATCATTAATGCACATCTTATGGAAATGTGAAACAAAATATACATCTGGGGGCTTCGTGATTCCCTTTAGGGGTATATTAAATTATCAGATAATGTAGTCATCACAAAATTGTTTAGTGGCACTTAGCAAACCCCTGTGAAGTTTTGTTTGTTACCGTCTTGCTCAGAGGATTTGCTTTCCACAGAAAGCACGCAGCACACTTGAAAGGGAGGTTTAGGATGCAGTCAGCTGGCACGGAAGCCTGAGAATCGGAAAGGAGAATGCCTGATGCATGACCTTGCTTGAAAACCCTGGATCTGGGAAGAGGCCAGTGTTGGGCTCAGCTGGGAAGGGTTTCTGAATTAGAGAATGGGTGGAGTGAGGAATCAGGTTCATTCCTAATGCCTGGTATAGTCCTTTCTTTTCAACAATGTTTCATTCCTCTGTGAATCATTGGTTTAGGTAGGTATGTTATTAGATCTTGAGTTTCTTTAAGTAAGTGAATTTGAAAGTTTTCTTTACAGGTCTCTTGAAGACAGAAAAGAGAAGAGGGAAAAATACAGGGGTGGATCTCGACACAGCATTAATATTTCAGTCTCTAGTACATAAGTCAGGTTTATGATTGTCATTTAGTTTAAAGGAAGGTACGGGTTTTTAGAGAATCCTCTTTTACTGACCTTAGCTTAGTGTTCCTCTGGTTTCTGACCAATCATTGGAATCCCCTCGTTACTACCCAGAAGGCTCTCTTGAAAGGTCTTCTGTGCTGATGGGTTGCCCAGTGCAGACAGGTGCACTGCAGTGGGAATCCCAGAGCCCCTGTGGAAAGATGCTCTGACCATTTTAGAGATGGAAACACTGAGACCCAAGGGACTCGAGCCACTTGCTCATGGTACTCTCATCGGCTAGAGCTCGGACAAGACATAGACTTTCTGACTTCTACACCTGGGTACTTTCCACTAGATACTGGAACTATAAATGTAGTTGAGTTATCTGACTGTCAAGAAGCAAGAGAGGCACCTTTTAAAAAATTTTCCCACCTGTGTTCTTAGATAGTGTTGTATAATCCAGCTAAGGGTATGTTGATTTAAAAGAAACAAATTCTTGTTCTGTGGGACATCACCCTCTGGACTGATTTGGCATGGAGCTGGGGATAAAGAATTATTGCAAGAGCCATCATGAAAATTGAAGATATGACTGTTGTTTCTCTCTCTCCCCCTCCCCTGTTGCTTTTATTGTTTCATAACTAGAATGTGACTGCATAGAATCCTGGGGCGGCTGCATCATGGAGGAGACCGGGTAACATTTCATAATGCATGACTTTGATATATGCTCTTCACTACAATTGCTGCATATAATTAGATGCACAATTTCGCAGGTAATAGCATGGTATCGCAGCTAAGCCCTTAGTGTACATTCCACCATTAATTGCCAGGTATCTTACAAGAGAGAGGGCTAACTCACTTTATATTTTAAGCTCCCATGTAAGACTGGCCATGAGAGTAAAGCATGTTCTTTGCTTCTGCTTCATATTAACCCTTTAAAGGGTGCACATGATTAAATACTGCTCCCTTTGGAAAAGCCATTAATTTTTCAGTACACTTAGAATATAATAGCTAGTTGTCCACCTGAAGGAGTCTGTGAAAATCAATGTCGTCCATCAATGTCGATGCCAAGAAGCTCAGAAATACATTTACAGTAATAAAATTATACCAGTCTACTTATATAATCAATGACGTTCTTTTTTATAAACAGTTTGATTGGGACACAATTCAAATGCACAGTCAGTAGCTCAATCATATCAAATGAGTTCTCTCTCTTTTTTTTTTTTAACTAAGACAGGTGTATCGTATTGTAAGCTAGTCTTCCACCAGTGCGCATTTGAGCATTCCTTCACTGTCTTTCCTCTTATCCTGTGGCTCCTTTGGGAAGGGGAGCAACTGCGCCACAGCTGCCGTTTGTTTCACTGGAACAAGACCTGGAAACACGGCCCACTTTCCCAGTGACCCCTGCCTCGTGGGAGCTACTTCTACCACATGGAAGTTGCTTCCTACCTCCCATGCTTGCCCCCATCCTGTGCCCACGCCAGGCGCCTGCCCTGCCTGCCTGTATAAGCTCCTGGGATGTTTCTGGGCCTGTGTCTATCCCTACACACACCAGTTGCCCCAAGCCCTCACCTGCTTGGGTAAAAAGAGTCTGTTACTTATCTTTCCACGAACCCTCAGAGGAGCTCGGCTCGAGGGGAGGAGAAAAGCACGCATGGGCTTCAGGAGAGGAGGTCAGCCATTAGCCCGCCTCTTCGAACATGTGCTTGAAGAAAACGCACTTTAAACACGCACGTTCCAGCATCCGTCGTCACTTTGTCACTGTACCAATCTAGTCACACTATGGCTTAAATAGAAGTTTTGTGTATGGGCTGCTGTAGGGAACAAAATCTAAGACCATTTACGATACAGGCCCTATGGGGTGATGCTTTCTAAGGTCTCCCCTCCCAATTGAAGAGTGGATTGTCTGGACTAATGGTAGGATGCAATGAAACTACTTCAAGTTAGCTAGCATTTCCCAAGTACTGCCAAGCGTGACAGATTTTGTCTGCCTCCATAAACTACCTCCTTCAACAGGATACACAAAGCTATGGGATTATGTCCCAGAATAAGTGGCCTGCCCTTTTCTAATCAAGCACCAATACCGATGAGCCCAAGTCATGAACGTGTATATTTCGGCCTAACCTTGATCATGTATATAATAGTTCCCTGTGTGCTTCCCCAAAGGAAATAGTTTCAGAATCAAATCACAAAGAGGCAATTGTTATATTCCTGTTAAATCATGAATTTCCTCAAATCGATTTTGAGAAAGAATAAAAAGATGCTATAATTGATGTGCATGACACTTCTTTTTTGGATTTCCTTATTTACCTGAGTGACAGTGCTAAAGCTTGCACGACACAGACTAACAAAATGGCCCACATTCCTCCCTCCTCCACAGTAAAATCTACTAGGTCATGAGCTTTTTATTCACGGCTGAGGTGCAAAATTGATTGCCTTTGCAGAGATGTAGCAAATAAAACTGACCACCCTGTAAATATAGTCTAGATGGAGAGGTTTTGTGATCAGTTCTTTCTACGCTATGCCAAGTCAGGTAACCAAAAGGACGTGATGAGAAGGAGATTCTAACCTGTACTGCTAGTCCATGATCTCCTTTGCATTTCTATTTTTACAAAACGCTAACACATAGGCTTGTTTGGCAGTTTGAACAGAAGTCCTTT